TATATCCACAACCTGGTATGCATTTGTGATTGCCAAGAAAATTCTCATTACCCTCTGGAAATCCCTGACAATTGTGCAGGACAGGATCCCTACTCACTTGGTACTTAGTTGGACCTACCCAGCCTACAAGGGTGCCAGGTCTTGGTGTCTGGAGACATTCTCCCTCATTAGAGCCATGCTAGTGTTGCACTTCAGTGTGCCATGCACGTACAAATATATCAACAATGCCAGAGCCTTGTGGCCAGTAGGCCAGAAGAAGTTGCTGCCCCAGTGGATATCAACCCACCAAGAAATCGCCCATCACGAACATCAGATGAAATTATGTACTTTTACCATGGGTGTTGGGAGGCAGGACAATGCCACTAATATCGGGGGAAGGAAAGATAGTTGCAGAGGCCTTGCTAGCAGTGCCTATCGAACACTATGATACTGGAAGTTCACTCCTACAGAAGGGCAAATTGGAAGAGGCTATATTTTTGTACAGGAAGTTCTTAACAGTAAACCTTCCTGAAATGGAGATTTTCTAGAATCTTGAGGAATTGCAATGATTTCTGACTGTATAATATGCGGGATTTTGAGTTTGCAAGGAGCCTTTGTCTTTCTTAAATATATATACTTTTTTTCCAGAATATGTGTAGTACATAGAGAATATGATTGCTTTCATTATTTCTATGTGTCAAATATGTTCAGCTGTACTAGTGGCTTGGTGGTCCACTCAGGTTACACTAATAAAACATTGCTGTAAGGTCTCCATTCCACTTATCTATGAAGACATGCAAAGGTTTCTGATTTTCTTTTGTGAGCAAAACATGAAAATATATTTTCCAGTGTATTTTGATGGACCTCAACAATGATGTGTTTAGTATCTTTCTTTCAATGATCCTCCTGAGGAACTGAGAGTGTCTTATTCCTTCTCTTTTGTGTGTGAACAAATTTTTTGCTCCTGGGCTTCCCTTGAGTTATGCCTTAGAGGGAAATGATGTTTGGAATTACAAGGTGCATCTGTGTGGACACTATGCTTGTGTGTGAACCGATAGCATAGAAGAAGTACATATGGTATAATAATGAAAGTGGGTTGCATACATCGTAATTCGTGTTTCACATCGAAACTCAAGTATGATAAGGACCTTACTATCATCAACAAAACCTTTAAATTTAGTGCTATTTGTCCCATGAGAATAATATGTTTTCCATATCAGATGGTGGCCATTGCGTGCACTATGTCTGGATGCTAAGATGACCCTTACCACCAAGGTAAATTGAGACATAATAAAAAGAAAGGAGACATTCCAAAAATATGTTAAATTATCTCCCCCCTTTTTTGGCATTTTGGAGAAAAGGTGGACATTATTCACTCTCAAAAATCTCTGGGATTGTGGCAGTTTTCTCTACTTGTCTGTCTCCAATATAGGAGTGTAAAATTCTGAAGGGAGATCTAGTGAGATGTTCATTGATGAATTCTCTGTTTCCTCAAGTTTTTAACCCTCTTTTAACGACTTCATTCGGCACTAACTTCAAAACAGTTTAAATAGTATGGTGTGGCCCTGTGTTTGCCAATTTGATGCAACATTCATTAGGCCATGTTGGCTCTACCAAAAGTGTTATTCCTTCAAAAATTAGGAGACCAAAGCTAGTCTGCACCATTGGCTGTCCTCCTTCAAAGCAGAAGAGTGCTAGCCATATTGTGGAAACTTCATTGCTTTCAAGAGGACCTCGTTTCTGGACCTCAGATTGCCATTTGTATGAGTCGATCACTGTCCTCAGAGACTTGTCCTCATCGATCCAGACAAGCCCCCTCTAAACAACTGAGACTTCCCAATGCCCTGTGAACCCGGGAATAGCTAGTTATTCTCTTAAGCTTTGAAATAAATGATCAGCCTTGGGCAGCAGGCTTTTGTCTGAGGTTCTAATCACAGGTACTGAAACCCATGCAGATTGAGTAAATTGTCTCAAGTCTGTTGTAGCATATATGAACGGAAAAAAGGTCATTCTCAAATTGGAACAGTTACTTGTAAGTAAGAGATACTTCCACAAGATTTAAATGTGGGTGGCTATATAAGCAGAAATTGGCTTTTTTTTTTTTTCACAAAAAGCTGTGGGTGTGAAGGAAGAACACATCTAAAATGACAAGGGTCATCCTCACATTAGTTTGAATAGTCAATCCATGTCTTGAAATTTGATGGAGTATTTACATCAAGAGCTGTTTGTTCCAATCATTTGCACTTCCTCCTACCCCCCTCTATTTCTCATCCTCATCTCCTTCATCTACCCACTAAGATTATTGTTTGGCTCACAGTCCAGACTGGACTTTCAATTCATCACACAACTCTCATTAAAATGTAGAATCCTTCAATGATTTATATCTCCTTCATGGATGTGTATCTGTTCAGCAAATGTCAACAATTATGTGATATGTATTTTCTGTGGCAGAGGACCTAGTGTTTGGTGTGTAAGAGTTGGAGGAGAACTGTCTTTGTTAACATACCATTTTGTCCTTTCCATTCAATTATATCATATCTGTTTCAATCAATCACTTGAAATAAAGATTTAATGTACCTTTAATTCCTGATATTATTTATGATCATGATCCTACTGTATTACCTGATTCTCTCAAAGCTCGTGTAGTTGTGCAGTAACAGTTTTCTATAATCTTAAATCATTAATTCATATGTTCCTACCTCAGACATGCCAAGAAACATACTGAAAGTAACAGCAGTATCTTGCAGAGATAAGTAGTAAAAATTCTGAAAAAAGGAATATGTCAGCATTCACAGCAAACTGTGTCAGAAAATTCAGATTTTCAATATTTTTGTATATTTTGTGGGGTTATTCAAAATAGGGAAGTTAATTACACTGGGTACACAGGGGTATATGATGAGTGGGCATTAAAGGAAAATGAAACACGAAACCATGGAAGGGCTGAAGATTCAATGTTCATATTCATCTTGGAAAAGGAGGCTTCTCATTTAGTTTGTTAAGAAAGAAATTAAAAAACACCCTGCGTACATGTGTGGGTTTTAAATATCCAAACATGGTTTGCACAGTAATATTTGATTACGTTTTCACTATCCTGAGAATAGAATTGACTTAAAATTGTGCCAATTTACAAGTTACTGTGGAAAAGGATTTCAATTTTTGTTTCCACAGAAAATGAAAAGATGTGGATTCCTTCCAGACTAATGTGGTTTGATCACGCCAGACGGCCTGAAACAGAGTACAAGCTGATCCTACATTCAAAACAGCTGGACAAAACAGCCCTACAGACTACAGCCAGGATATCTGAATCTTCTTCGAATCCCCCCCAAGACAGCGCCCCTTACCAGCAGGAAATAATTTGGAAAGAATGACGTCCAAATTCCAAATATTGTGTATAAATGTTTGTTTTCATTTAATTGGACTTTGTTATATAAAATTAAATTAAATAAAATAATAATAATAAAAAAAGAAATGGAACTCAAAAAAAATTGTGCCAATTTTTGCAGGACTGAAATGGGTTGTAACCCATCATTTGGTTTAGTTTTGTGTTAATTCCTAACGTAACTTCCGATTAAGGGAAATCATAGCAACTCTATTCCTCGGACTACACGTGTCATAGAATCTATGGGTGGGAAATCCCCAGTCAAAATAAGAGAGGTGTCAGGAAGAAGGAATCAGGTTCTAGGCTCACCTGTCCTACATGAAGTATATAGCCCTTTGCGATTATAACCTGCAACAATGGAGAAATTAAAAATATCATGGATGTTTACATGAGCAGAGTACAATGTATGCCCTGTGGCCAACTTTCTCCATGCTATTACTGTAAATAGGTAAAAAACAATGAGCTTCCTTCCTATTTCTCCTGAAATTTTGTCGTCTCTTGAAGTGATACATTTTCGTCCTTTCCAATCCCTTATAAGAAAACACATGTACCCCAAATAACGTAAACAAAAAGATACTTGAGAAGTACAAAAAAGTGATAGTGACAGTAGCCCTCAGGCAGGATATATTAACTATAATAAAAGCGAAGGGAGAAGTCATTCTCTCAAAACTTTTCTTGGATAAGTTAATGAATATAGCAATGTTGGCCAATAGGAAGGAAGATAGGCAGCACTAGGAGACAAGGAGTTTTTGAAGGGAATTAGGAAGTTGATTCAACATGGAGGACAAAGAGAGACAAACTCCATCCTCTCTTGTTGGGAAGTCAAGAACACATGGATACATTTACATCAATAGAAATGGTTTAATATTTAAGAAAGAGCTAGTCAAATAGAAATACTCATAGCAGGCCATCTGCATTTTATCTAATAGTGTCTCTGTTCTTTGGTGCTGGCACAGTTTGGGACAAGGCAAATAGAAAAATGCTCCTAAGAAAATGGCACCCAACATGGGACTTGTTCCCAACACCTGCGATTAAGAGTCTCATGCTGTACATACTGAGCTACTCGTCCTAACACTAACATGTTAGTTCAGATTACTTCACACCTGTGTTCAAGCTCACAATGGACATATGCCAAGAGTGAGGAGTCAGTAAACACTGTGTGATATACATATGTCAATATTCAGATAATTCAGCCAAGTTACTAGTTCTTTTGACATCTGTCATTAACTATATTTATTACTTGGGTGGATTCTATAGCCTTGTACAGTAAGAGCTTTACTGAAATGCTTCATAAAGCCGAGACTTTCTAGAATCTTGAGGAACTGCACTGATTTCTGATTATGTACAATGCTTGATTCATGTTTGCAAGGAGCCTCTGTGTGTCTGAAAGAAATATACTTTTCTTCTAGAATATGTGACTTATATAGCCAATCTGATTGCTTTCAGGGTGTCTATGTTTCAACCATGTACAACTGTAGTAGACTAAGCTTAGGTTTTCCACTCAGGTTTCCCTAATAAAATTTTGCCCATGAAGGTCTCCATTCTACTCTAAATTATCTCCCCTTTTGGGGACGTTTTGGAAAACAGAAGAGCACTAGCCATATTGTGGAAACATCATTATTTTTAATAGGACCTCGTGTCTGGACCTCAGATTGCCATTTGTATAGTCGACCACCATCCTCAGAGACTTGTTGTCATCATCTATCCAGAAAAGTCCACTCTAAACACAAGAGTCTTTCCAATGCCACGTGAACCCAGGAATAGCTAGTTACTTTAGCTTTGAAATAGATGAACTGCATGTGGCAGCAGGCTTGTTTCTTAGCTTCTAAGCAGATGTACTGAACCATACACAGAAGGAGTCAATGGTCTCCTGCCTATTGTTGCAAAAATGAGATGAAAAAAATATCATTTTCTAATTTGCCACAGTTACTGGTAAGATACACTCTACTGACATTTAAATTTGGCTTGCTTCATAAGCAGAAATCAACTTTTTCACAAAAGGAGTGGATAATATATGATGCACATGTTTAAAATGGCAACGGTCATCCTCAACTTATTTTGAATAGGTGGGTAATCCAGGTGTTGGATTTCGTGAGAACATTTACATTATGGGATATTTTCCATTCAACTTCCTCCTCTTGTCCCCTTCTTTTATTCATCCTCATCTCCTCATCAAACCACTAAGTTTGTCTTTTGTCTCACAGTCCAGAATGGACTTTACATTTCATCATGCAACTCTCATTACTATGTAGAAGCCTTCAATGTGTATCACAATGTTTCACCATCGTGGATGTGTATCTGGTTAGTAAATGTCAACAATAATATTATATGCATTTTCTTTGGCAGAGGACCTGTAGTTAGTGTATTTGTGTCTGGATGAGATATACCATGTTGTCATTTTTCACTTCAATTACAGAAGATCTGTTTTAGTGATCCCTTTGAAGAAAAATTTAATGTACCAGTAATTATTGCTATTATTTGATTATGAGCCCGAGCATGCCCCATTATGTGTTTCTCTTGAATTTTATGCAGACTTGCAATAAACAGTTTTCTTAAATCTTATAAGGCCATGCCATGAAATATACTTAAGTAACTCTGGTATCTTACAAAGGTGATGATTATTGAAAATTCTAATGAAATATTTCAGCATTCACAGCAAAATATGTCAGAACTTAGAGATGTCCCCAAACAGATCAAGACATATAACTGTCACCCACATTCTGAGGGTCTAGTTTAGTTAAATACAGGCTCCTCAGCTATCAGTCCATAGTCTATGAGCTCCGACTAGCTTGGGACAGCTGTCTCTGTGGTTTTCCCCCTCTTGCTCATAATTCCCCTCTTATTCATGTGGTCCCTCTTCCAAGAGAGACATACATGAATAGTTCCAGGAAGGAAAACAGTTAAGATCGCCTTGGTAAAGCCATTTTGACCTGCTATCATATACATTAAGATGCACATTAACATCCCCAAGTAACACTGATTACCTGAATCTTGACAATTTCACTATCTACATACATAGAATAAATGCTCCACAAAACTAACTTGAGATGTAAATATTGATGCAGCACATGAGATTGAAAAGGTGGACAGACACAGACTACAGTATTGTAATATACTTTAATTGCAGCAATTAGGCCCACTTTCTATCCCTTGTGCAGTGTCTAATGAAAGAAAGACATATTTTGATGAGAATGCTAGAGATCTGGGAAGTCAATTTTCTCATTGCATGCCCTCATTTTATTCCATCCCTTTTATAGCTACATTTCTCACTAATTTAAATACATATGTACATATGTATAGTGCATCACTAATTACAGTACTTTTCAGTTTGAAAGAAATGAAGCAGGTATCATGGTGCACTTGGGACACTGTCAAGAAACGCTCATAATCTAAGACCATAAGGCCAGATTGCACAATTATAAGTAATCTGTGAAAACTGAGGAGAATAAGCCAATCTCTGAAACACTAACTGCTGTTCTCAGAGGATTTCATATCTGGACCTCAGATTCCCATTGGCATGAGTCGCTCAGCATCCTCAGACAAGTGTTATCATCATTGATCCAGAGAAGTCCTCTCCATTTATCTGAGAATTTCCACACCCAGGAGGGACCACATAAATTTTTTTCTTCTAGTTCTTGAAAATGAAAAACATAATTGTGTAGAAACATGTTTCTCAGTTTCAAAATATAAGTATTGAATCTGAATCAGCAAGCATAGGTTGTCTTTTGTACCCTAGTTCAAATATGAAATAAATGTGATATCAAAATACTCTATTGTGAAAGATCCATCAGCTGGCCAGCAAATGAGAGTCCTGCAAGCAGGCCATACTACCACAGCTGACACCCACTTTAGTCTGTCCCCACAAGACCCACTCTATTGTCTACTCCCAAGTACCACGTCATCTTCCCTTTGGTCAACCATCCCCTGGTTGCCCCTATATGCATAAATACCACTTATACCAGTTGGAAAAACAAGTGGGTGACTGGTCTTCCAGCAAAACTGAACCAATCTCTAGGCCACAAGCCCCAGGGGACATCCCATGCCCTACCTTTCCCATTTCAGCTCCAGTGAGAAAACTTGCCCCTGCCCCCTAAATTTGTAGAAATCCATTTCTCTGGTGCAGTGCCCAACAGCCTGCCAGAAGATGAGAGAACTGTGCACAATCTATACCACCGCTGTAGTCACTCAGTGGACTTTCTTCCCACAAGACCCACTCTGTCACTCAAGCAAATCTATCCCAGCATCTTTCCTGAGGATAGCCCACTCTGGCAAAATCAGCAGATCCTATAGGTTCAAGTGCTACCCATACCAATTGGTAATAGAGTATTTCTTATAGGTGCAAACACCATCTACACCAGCCAGCCAGAATAACAGATGTTAAACACCAGTGTAAGAATACATTAAACAACATAAAGGGCAATATGGCACCATCAGAACCAAGAGTTTCTACAACACCAAGACCTGAATACCCCAAAGCAGATGAAGTAAGTTGGAACAAACTTAAAATAATTTTATGAAGATGAAAGAGGCCCCAAGATGAAATAAGAAAAGACAAACAAAAAATTGGAAGCAATCAATAGATCCCTACAAGAAAACAATGATAAAGGAATCAAACAGGTGAAGGAAAGAGATTAAGACTTGAAAATTGAAATAGAGGCAATAAAGGACACAGAAACTAAGGAAATTCTGGAAATAAATAATCAGGAAAAGTAAACAAGAACTACAGATGAAGGCATCTCCAGCAGAATGGACGAGATGGACAGAAGAATCTCAAGTGTTGAAGATAAAAAAGAAGAAAAGATTAATTGGTTGAAGGAAATGTTAAATCCAAATATTTCTTAACACACGCACACACACACACACAAATCCAATAAATCTAGGAGACTATGAAAAAGATCAAATCTAATAAAAATAGAGATAGAAGGACAAGAATTCTGGATCAGAGGCACAGAAAATATATTCAACAAAATCATAGAAAACTTCTTCACCCTAAAGAAGGGCATGCTGAAGAAGCAACAAGAAGCTTACAAAATATCAAAATAGACAAGACCAAAGAAAATAAAGGAAAAAAGAATCCTTACTACATGATAATCAAATATCAAAACAGAGAGATTAAAGAAAGAATATTAAGAGCTGCAAAAGAAAAGGGGCTAAGTACCATATGAAGCCAAACCTACTATAATTACACCAGAATTATAAGTGGAGACATTAAGAGCCAGAAGGTCCTAGACAGACATTTTGCAGATGCTAAGAGACCAGGGATGCCATTTCAGACTACTATATGAAACAATGTTATCAATCACTATAGATGGAGAATCAGGATATTTCATGAACAAACCAGATTTATACAATACCTATCCACAAATCCAGCACTACAGAAAGTATTGGAAAGGAAATTCAAACAAAAGAAATTGAACAACACCTAAGAAACCACAGGCAATACATTATCTCATACCAGAAAATCCCAAAGAAGGCAAATACAAACCCACTACCACCACCAACAAAACCCCTAAAATAATAAGAATTAGTAATCACTGGTCATTAATACCCCTTAATAATAGTGAATTAAAATTGCCTATAAAAAGACACAGACTAACAGAATGGAAATGAAAACAGGATCCAGCCTTTGGATGCATACAAGATGCACACTTCCAACAGGCATTAGCCCAGAGTAAAATATTAAGAAAGGATTTGCAAATCAAATGACTTAAGAAGCATACTGGGGTAGCTATCCTAATATCTAACAATGTATATTTCAAACTAAAATTAATCAATGAAACAGAGAGGAACAATTAATGTTCATCACAGGAATAAAATCCATCAAGTTGAAGCCTAAATTCTGAACATTTATAACCCAAACACAAGGGCATACACATTTGATTTGAAAAAAAAAAGCAAATTCTAAATCTTAAATCACACACCAAACCCACACATCAGTAGTGGGAGACTTCATCAACACAATTCACCAATGGATAGGTCTGCCAGACAGAAACTTAACAGAGAAAAAAAGAGAAGTAACATGTCATAACTCAAATGGACTTAGCAGATATCAATACACATTTCACAAAAACACAAAAGAATATACTGATTTTTAGCATCTCAGGGAAACTTCTCTAAAACTGATCACATACTCAGTCACAATGAAAACCTCAATTTACACAAACAAAATCGGAATAACTCCTTGTGCTTTATTGGATCAACAATATAAACAATAAAAACCATACAGACTCATGGAAACTGAACAACTCTCAACTTAAATACTGCTGGGTCAAAGAATAAATGAAGAAAGAAATGAAAGACTTCCTAGAATTCAATAGAAAATAAAGGCACAACATATCCAAACTTATGGGACACCTTGAAAGCAGTGTTAAGACAAAAGTTCATAGTACTACATGCTATAGAATACCCAGACTAGTGACTTAACAACATACCTGAAAGCTCTAGAACAGAAAGAAAAGTAGAAACAAGGAAAACAACACAAAGAATAAATACAACAATGAGATTTTTCTTCAAGAAGAGAGACAAAGTTTTTTACAAACTAAATAAAAGGCAGAGAGATAATATCCAAATTAACAGGATCACAAATGAAAATATAGACATAACAACAGACACTGGGGAAATTTTGAGAATAATCAGTTCATACATTGAAATCCTGTACTCTAAAAAACTGGAAAATTGAAAGGAAATGGATGATTTTCTGTATAGGT